CCCGACATCCCTGTGCCTGGCCGGCCAAGCCCCGGTGTGGCCACCGCCTGTGCCCCATGCTGTCACCCCAATGCACAGGGCCCAGGGCTGCAGCTGACAGGATGGCTATGAAACCCCACACCCTGGTAAACACCACCACAGAGCTGGCTGCGACCCAGGAGCCACGGACCTCATCCCCGTGGCACTGGCACACAACCCGCACCCAGAGGGCAGCTCTGCCCCTGCCTGCTTGGCACGTGGCACCTCCACAGCCTCCGCGGCCGGTGCGGCAGTGCCAGCAGGCACCCATGCTGCCGCTCCCTTGGGAGCTTGTTCAAGCGCTGCCGTTCCCTGCCCGCACCCCAGAGATGTGGCCGCCCCGAGATCGCACAGAGCTGGGCAGCGGTGGGGGGGGAGCCAGTCCATGGGGGGGCCTTTCAACGCTGCCCGCAGAGGCACTGGCCCAGTCACCGGCTCCTGGCAGCAAGGATGGTTACAGGCCATCCCAGGGGACCATGCGCCCCATCGGGAGCTTGTGGGGACAGGGATGGGGACAGGCAGACGCAGGGGAGCAGGGTCCGATCCCTGAGATGGCCCCTGGCCAGGGAGAGGGTCCCTGTGGGGCAGTGCTGGGTCCCTGTCACCAGTGCCCAGCACTATGCCAGGCTGCTGCGGTCATCCCTGTCCCAGTCCCATCGCTGCACCATCAGCCCCCCAAAACCGCAGTGACACCCCCAGCTCTCCCCATGCATTGACCTCCTGGCACCACTGCTGCCTCCCCCAGCCCAACACCAGCCTGGCCCCGGGGCTGCCCCATGCCCACCCTGGGGCTGCCAGCACCGACCCCCACGTGCACCGACGCCGCAGGCACAACAGGGGCGACGACCCCGTACGCTCAGTGGGGGCACCGACCCCCCACGCATGATGAGGACACGGACCCTGCATGCAGAGTGGGGACACCAACACTGCACACTCAAAGGCACCGTCCCCATGCACACAGCGGGGACACCAACCCCACATGCATGACGGGGGCATCGCCCTGGCTTGGCTTCCCCGGCTGTACCCCCCAATATCCCAGGCACCACCTGACCGAAACAGGGCTCCCTGGGACTGCGGGTTTTGGAGCAGCCCCGCGGGGAGGAGGCGGGGGGGGATTATTTGCCTGTTCGTTTGCTTATGGCCTCGACGAGGCTGGAGGGGAAGTAGCCCACAC